GCCCGAAGGGCTATGAGCCTTGAAGATGCCAAAGGAAAAAAGAAATAGAGAGGGAGAAGAGAGGTTCAAGTGCTGATCTGAATTGTGGAATTGACAGATTTGGAATTGGCACATGTGGAATGGATATATTCTGTGAGCTTTGTTGCAGGATCCAGCGCTAAGGTGCTGGAATCGCCGGCTGTGGAAGAGCCGTCTGCTAAAGCACTCATGGTTTCTGTGTGCTGTGAGTACAGGCCACCTAGCGACTGCGATCGCTGGCAATGGAAGAGCCATATGGTGGTGAACTGGCGCTTCTGTGTGTTTCACGGGCAGGCTGCCCTGGCGCTGCCATCGCCACCATTGTTGGGTGAAAATTGATAGTTTCTCTTTGCTTTGTGCGTGGGCTCTCCAAGTGCCGCAATCTCCGGAGATGGAAGATCGCATACTTTCATCTTGCCTAGCCAGACGACACTACCAACTGCACGGGGGAGCCGCTTGTACCCCCACACCCAAACCAATCGCATAGGGGATCACTCGCACCCTCACATGCAAGCATGCGCCATATGCCACCACAACAACAAAAACTGCGGGTGGTGGTGGTGGGAAAACAACCAGCCCCCTCCTCCCCCCACCCCCCAACCCCACCCCGAGAAAAGAATCAAAACAATCGCCGCGGAATCCACCCAATCCTCAAAGAGTACCCGCGTGCTTCCCAGACAGTGTTCGTGAGCCCTCAGATAGCGTCCACGTGCTGCCCGGATAGTTTCCATGCCCCCTGTGGATGATAAAGAGTGTACGCACATGACAAAAGCGTCCATGCATAGAGCGTCCGAGCACATAGCAAAATGCCCGATGCATCTGCGCCACATGCAGATGGAGAAAATGTCTCCAGTGTTTTTGGATTCCACGCCCTCAGATGCTCAGGACTCACTCAGAAGCTTTTGTCTTAGCGCTCGGACGCTTCCGCTTAGTGTGCGGACGCTTCAGACGTTGTTTTTATCATGTTGGACAGTGCCAATAGAGCACTTGGAGGCGCTCGAACGCATCCAACACCGGTAGAAAACAGCCTGTTTGCGATGCCAACTGCGATGCCATTTGACAGAAATTGATGCCATCACAGCCCATTTTGCGCCATCGCAATCAGTGCGATGGCAACATTTTGTCTCGGAATGGTATTGCAGTTGGCATCGCAAACGCACCGTTTTCTACCAGTGCATGTCGCTCCGAAACCTCGAACACGCCCCTTTTCCCCGTAGTGTCCACAGCCGTCAGTGTGGGTGCAGATGGTAGTAATTCCTCAGGACAATCTCTCAACTTTCTTGGCCTTTCTTGGTGACAATGGCTGTGCATTCTGCTGTGTTCCCAATACTGTAATTGCTTGTAATAGTGCTCCTTTTGTGGTGCTTCCTCAGCGGCCTTCAGGTTTCTGACTCCAACTCTAGTCGCAGCGTTGCGTGCCTCAATGTCTGGCGTCTTCTCCCATCTTTCCACAGCGTCCCCTCTTGTTCGCATGCCTTTCTCATGTGTTTCTTGTGCTGCTGTAGGCTCCTTAGCCATTTTAGTCGCCGTTTTATCATGTATTACAGTAGTCTACTGTGTTGCACAGCTTTAGTAGTTCCTTTCCTTTGGTGATGACTTTGAGCTACTTTTTGCCTTCTTTCCACGACGCCTTTTAAAATGTAAATAGCAAATTTGCCATGCCAAGATGTCCTCACAGCTCGTGCTATGACGTCTGCCGTTCCAACTTTCCTACCGTCACTCCTCACTCTTTTGTTACTCTTTCTCATTCTTTGTTGACACCTTTCGCCATATCTTGCCTCCACCGCAATGGCTGCTCCTGCGTGCCTTGTTTTAGTACATTCCGGTGTTGTGAGCTACTGTCCGTGCTGCTCTGGTGACGTTTCTCTACACTGCGTTGCCCCCGTCGCCTGGCACTCCGAATTCAGTACTTTGACGTGTTGTGAACTTGTGTTGCTTGGCCCTAGTGACGCCTTTCGCCATGGCATTGCTCCTCACAGCCATGGCAGCCTGTGAGTGCTGTTATTTAGTACTTTATCTTGTCAAAAGCCTTCTCTCAGTGGTGTCCCTGTGAAGGCTTTCATGACTGCACCATTCTCGTTGTTGTGGCTGCATGTGGGTGTCCTGGTCCAGTAGTTTGTCATGTATCAAGAGTGTCTCAGGTTGTCCTGGTGACGTCTTTCGTTATGGCGCTGCAATGGCAGCCCAGGACCTTGAGTGGCTGGGTGTTTTCTGTATTTTATCGTGTGCTAACCTCATCCACTCCAAGTTCTGTGACGTCTTTGCGACGTCCCGGCCCTCGCAGTCGTCTGAACTTTTGCGCGACTGCATTTTCCGTATTTTGTTATGTTCTGGCGGTCTCTCGCGTGGTTTTCTGTGATGTGACAGCCCTGTAGTCATCGTAGTCATCATGTGGCTGTGTATTTTATTAGTTTATGTCGTTTGTTTTGTCCTCAAAGTATTATCTTCGACTGATGCCGTTGAAGTTCTTTGATGTTCGACATCTTCTGCCAAGCATAGTCAGTCGTCATTGCCATCTTTGCGCGGTGACATTTCCACATATGACATCAGTCCCGGATGCACAAGCCGCTGGGCCGGTGTTTGAGGCCGTGCAAACTGAGCGGAGTCCCACACGGGAGACCCAACCGGCCTTGCGCCATCCACTCGGTGTGCCCCGCCACCCAGCAGTCCCCTGGGCGATCGATTGGAAGGCAGGCAAACGCCCGCCGCTTGTGATTTGGGGGCGGCTCAGCCCTCTAGCCGGAGTAAGCTATCTCACGCATACGCTAGCTATCGCGGCCTGGATTTGCAGCCAATTGCGCCTCCTGTGCCGCTGCCGACTGGCCACACGAAGGTCCAACCTGCACTGTGCCATCCTCTCGGTGCTCCCCGCCACTTGGCAGGCCCCTGGGCGATTGATTGTCAGGTAGGCGGGCGCCCATCGCTTGCCATCCAAGAGGTGGTGGTGGTGGCGTGGTGTGTGTGGGGGGGTGGGTGGGAGGGGAAGGGGGGGGGAGGGGGCGCTGGCGCCAAAGATGCCAATACCAATTGCGTCAGGGGCGCGCGTGTTGGCCAACGGCCAGCACGGGTCGCAGGGCACGCGCACTTAGGAAGCTAGGGAGTGGTCCGTTGCACCTGAAATTTGGCGTACAACTTCCAGAGCCCACCCTGAGCTTGTGCTACACGATGCGGAGCAATAAAAAGAAGCAACAGTCCGGGACGAAAATGCGTAGCAAAAACGTAACGGTCGGGGTGGACCAATGTGGAAGGGTTGAATATTCTTGGTTCCCGCGTGACGCGACAAGACGGCGCAGATCGATCCTGCCCCGCGGATTCGGGCGGGCCGCGGGGCCCCGCCACCTTCGCGGAAGCGATTGAGCATGCATCGCGTACGTATAACGCCGCCCCTCACCCCACGTGCCGCCCAAAAAAGCAAACGCGGCCAACGAAGGCAAGTTGACGCGGACAACGGCTGAGACAGGAGACGAGAGGCAAAAGAGAGGATACAAGAGGCAACAGCCCAGAGACAAGCGACCGCTGTTCGGGTGCACGTGGCCACAAGGTAGCCCCCCACCCACAGCCCCAGCCCCTCTCGCCGGTCCGGGACACCTGACAGGGCGGTGCGTTTTGCAAAGTGCACGGGTCGATTTTCAGTTGCCAGTTGACCCACGGTTGGTAAAGAGCGCCGGCACCATTGCGGCGGCCGCCGGGGCGGGGGGGAGAGGGCGGATCGCGATGGGGTCGGCGAGCGACCGCGGATCGCGCCCGTCGATGGAGGACGCCAGCGCGATCGTCCGCGACCTCGTGGATCTGCCGCTGGCCTTCAGACCGGGTCAGTGGATAGTCCCCGAGGCGTTGGCACGGTCGTTGAAGCCGCTGTGGGACGGCGCCAGATCCGGGTGGAGGAGATCAGAACTTGAATCCGTTGCGGATAGGAATGGGGCCGCGGGATGCTCCGAGTGTGGGAATGGACCCCCTGAAGTCTCCAACAGGGGTCGATCCGGCGGAAGTGCGGAGCGGGATATTGGTGGGGGTCTTGTGGCCGTTGGCGGGGCCAACGGGGTCAACGGTCGGTCGTCTGCAGGGAGGCTGAGGGATGGGGCGGGGCAGGACGGCGGCGCGGGAACGGGGGACGTGGTGGTCGGGGAGTGTAGGCTGCATTACGCCGCGGTATGCGACGGGCACGGGGGGGATGACGTGGCCAGGCTGGTAGCAGCCAACCTGCACCTGCACGTGAAGAGGGCGCTCGAACAGGCGAGTTGCAGACCGCGGATTTCCGCCGCTTCGCTCACTTTTTCTGCCACTGTGCTCGCGCGCTGCAGCTTGCTGAAAAGAGTTCACGAGCCGCCCTTCGTCCCCTAATGTTCAAAAGTAACGATGTGCTGGCTACTAAGTACTTCTACTCTCCGGAAATAAATGAAACAGTTTGTTGGAGAGGCCATATTTGTGTGATGCCCTTATCGATTTTTCATCAAAATTGGAACAGCACAGTTTCTGCGATTTCCGAAATACTTTTAAAATTCTGAGGAGAATGGATTAGTGACGGCCAAATGGCACTTTAAAATCAGCGAATCCGGCCACAATTTTGAAGTATTAAAAAAGAGCAATTCATCATCATCATGATTTTTTACAGAACAAGGCAATGAGGTAGCCGTCAGCTTCCTATTTTGCCTGAGCAAAGCAGTGTCGATGATTGGTTCATTGGAATCTAAGGAGAATACAAACTAAATGTACGAACTATGAAATTTCGCTGCCTAAAAGTGATAATCGATGGTAATACATCAAACGAAGTGTGTTCGCAAGCTGTCGAGCTGGAACTGTAGCAAAGAGCAATTCCCACCCCGATTGCTGCCGAAATTACAAACACATCGGTGACAATGAAAACTAAACATCTTTCTGATTGTCTTTTCTTTGCGCAGTTGGTGTCCAAATGGCGCAGCGGCTCTTCGGCGGCAGTTGGGGACGGATCGGGATTTCTGGGGCTGGAGGCGGTGGCGGGCGCGATGCGGTTGGCGTTCCAGCTGATGGACGAGGAGTTGATGGGGAAGGAGTGCGTGGGGTCAACGGCGGTCGTCGCATTGGTCGGCGGGTCAATCCTGTGCGTAGCCAACTGTGGAGACTCCAGGGCCGTGCTGTCCAGGGGCGGGGCGGGCTACAGGCTCACACGGGACCACAAGCCTGACCTGGAGGATGAGCAGGTGGGGAGTATTTCCAACTAGCAAACTGAGTATTGCTCAGTAAATGTATGGGCATTTTCTGCATATTCAGTAGTATGTTCAACCCTTCCGCATAACAACGCAATGCTTGGTCCTTTTTTCGCGGGAAGACCTATTAAACAGTAACGCAATGTTTAGCGGCTTTTTGCGGAGTAACGCAAAAGACTTTAAAATACCATTCTCGACAACAAATAGGGGGCAAAAAGCGCAAAGATGAAGTTGTCTGATGCGGAATGGCTGAACATTTTACGGTGTTTTGTAATAAATGTTACATGAAGTGACATGCGGGACAATTGTTGATGGAAAGCCCTTGGTCTTGCTTCGCCAAACGCAACAAACTCGATCCCAATAATCCACAAGATGTGTGAATGGTACAGATGGGATTCATTAATTATCCATCGTTGGCCAGTTTTTGGAAGCATCGCAAAAATTAATAAGTCGTAAGTTTTCAAGACAATGCAACCGGAAGGCGGGTGGCCGTGACTAACAATCAGCGACACGATACACCGTATTGCAGTTGCAGATACGCCTCCTGCATTGTGAATGGAGTCAGTCTCCGTGATAATATAAGCATACATGTGTGCCACAAATATGCTTTCAATTTTCTGAAGCGCGGACTGGCTTCGATTTAATTGTTTGAAGGCTCTCTTGTACATCCTCGGACTCCAATTGAACGTAACCATCTTCCGCACCCAGCTCAAACCTCCCTTTGCGGGGTAATTCAGAGTACTGCAAAGTACTGAATTTCGTACCTACTTGTTCAATAGGGCGTTGTCGGCACGTAATGCCTCCAAACCAGAACATAATCGACTTCGTTTCGGGCGCAACCGCGTCAATTTGAGGCTATGGGCCCATGGAGCACCATTGATTGGCACGACTCGCCGACTATCCGTCATTTGACTGTGTACTAATGTTATTACACATTGACGTTGGTGCAGTGGCAACGTTAGCAACGTTTGCATCAACACTTTCGATTGATCACATTGCGTTCGACATGAATTCAACCTTCTCGCCTCTGCCTTCAGGAGAGGATAAGGAGCTGCGGAGGGGAGGTCTTGAACTGCAACGGCCCGCGGGTGATGGGTCAGTTGTCCATGTCGCGAGCCCTGGGCGACCACTTCCTCAGGGGAGCGGGAGTCGTCGCCGATCCGGAGGTGCGTCGACAAAATGTCGCTGTGAGATGGTTTGACGCGGTGGACAATTCTATGTGCCGTTTCCACCAATGCCCTGCGAGTGTGTTGGAGTTTTGGAGAAGAGGTGTCAGGGTGAATGGTGCAAGGCGAGCGCGTTCTCTTGCCTCAATCTGATGATTCGATGGGCATCTTCACGAGCTCAAATATGGAATAAAATTATTCACGAAGTATATTTTGCGTTGAGATATATATCTCCATACAGCTGTTGCTTGATGCTCGTTTGACGGGCTGTGGTCCAAACGCTTGAAACCTGCTGTATATCAGAAATTGTTTGTTTCGTATCCTGATGGATTCTGCCTTTTGCAATCCACAGATGTTCACAATTCACAACACCATAACTGGAAGAAAAGGAAAAACTGACTCCATTCGCATTCGCTTCGCGCAGGTTACAATCATCTGCAGGGACTCTCGTGACGAGTTTATGATCCTGGCTAGCGACGGCCTGTGGGACGTGATGCCGGATGAGGCGGTCAGCAAATTAGCGCGCAAGTGCCTAAGGCGGTCCAAAGAGCGGGAAGTTCCGCCAGAAACAGCGGCGCGGGTGGCGGCACGGGTGCTGATTAGGACGGCTGTGGAGAGGGGGTGCAGGGACAACATCACTGTGACCATCATTGACTTGAGCTGGGGCAGATAGCCTTCAGGTCTGAACAGGTTTGGGTTAGATCTGATTTGATCTGTCTGGGCTCGATTCATTTTGATGCGATGGTTTCTCGGGTGATTTGTCACACTCGTAAATAAGATCATCTTGGGCGGAAAACATGCAAATAAGGGCCCAGAATTTTGTGGTAAAAGTAAATATATATTGATACAGACATGACAGCAGGGAAGAATATGGGTTTTAGCTCAAATAGCTCAAATAATTTTGTTGTGCACAGCATACCGTCAGTCATCAAGCCTTGGAGACGAGGGGTATGCTGGAAAGGTAGCTATGTAGTTTAAATGCATAGTGGGTTTCTGTTCCTAAGGTGTTTGTGGAAAAAGTAGATGGAGCAGTTGATATTACTTCGTTCTCATTTTGTTCAAAACTTTCATCAATTTCATTTTTCTTCATTTTCATAGCGCACTCAGAACAATTTATGTGGATGTGTGGTTGGGTGAAACAGCGGTTCGGAGTATAGCCGCAAGTTGTAGAAAAGCGCATGGATTTATTTGCACTTGGCAGTGTCAGCGTTGGGACGAAACTGGTAAATAGAATGGTGCAGAGATTCTTTGCGTTTCAAAACGAATGGAATGCGGTCAATGTGTACTGAATGTCAATGAACGGCCTGCGTGCGGAGAACAGAACGCAAGGGCGTCGATCCCGTCTACCAACGAACACTCCGTGTCCACTTGCGAAATTTCCGATTTTTTTGTCCACCTCTGCAACGTTTTCTTAATGGCTGCATCGTCACTGTGGGAAGAACGGCACCTCGCGACGACCACCGCTTCTGTGAGTGGATCAATGGTGGCTAAGGCGGGCAATGGGTATCTTACCCAAGGGCGTTTTTCACTGCTTGTAGTGCTTTGCATACTGAGCAACAACGGTGTGAAATTCCATGCTTGGTTTCCATACGTAAAATTCGACAGAGCGGAAACATAAATAACAGCTGTACTGGACCATTATGAGCAGAGCTTAGGAGCAGGACACTTCGGAAGAATAAAAAGCCCTGGATGAACAAGCTGGTCTGTGTGCACAACCAAACATCATCCCGACTGGTAGCTTAGTCACCGTGTGCAACGTGTCCAAGGAGATACACGAGAAATATTTTGAGGGGAGCCGGTCCAAGTTTTAGTTGATATTATGCAAATATCCTGGGTAAAGTGATGGTGTGTCCGCGCTGACAAGACAAAATAAGAAAAAAACAAATCCTAAGGAGCTTCGCAGTTCCAGCGACTAGCAAACAGCACGCTCGCTGACGGAAAGCGACTGCAAACACACAATTATTACTTGCGTAAAGTCAATCAATGAGTCAACCAATTTGTTAAACGATAGAACCTAGAGCGGCGAAGCCACCACGGACAAGCACTGCAAAACGTCATTTGTGCCATGCCAACTGCGGCACTACTAGTAGTATAACAGATACTATCGCTGATAGATAATACCGCTGCGATACTACTAGAAGTGTCGAGTACTTGACACTAATTGATGCTACAGCAGCGATCGCGATGGCACCAAATTAGCTGTGATGGCAACAACAAGTGTCAAGCTGCATCGCAGTTGGAATCGAGTTGAATTAAGGCGCGTTTTTCCAGTGGAGGTTTCCACTGTTGCGGCTGCAGGTCAGCAGACCCTTCCTTCCCTTCCCTTCTTCCCTTCACCACGGCACGTCTCCACAGCGTCTCCACGACGCAAGAGAGGACCAACCGGATCCAAAATTTATGTCCACGTGATTTCAAACTGTGCGGGAGCAACGGGCACCTCCAGACACAGCATCGCCGCCCTTCTCTGACAGTGGCCGGCCACCAAACTAAGCATATGGGTAATACGACATGCACGTCAAATATAATTGAGTAATTACTGCTTGAAGTGGTGGTTTCTGATGAGGATCGCAAACGCCAGCCTCCCCAAATGCAGCAATCCAGACAGTAAAGTTGCCTGAAAACTAATTTCTGCAGGCGAAATCACGTCTCTTCGCATCCCGAATCTCATTCCCCGTCCGGCCCAAATGACACGATACCAAAGAGTTTCTCCCTACACTATCGCACCTCCCCACCCTCCGACCCTGAATTCCCTCCCCTTTCCTGCCCGATGCCGGTTCTCCACGTTTGATCCAATTATCGTTCTTGTTCCCCCTCCCAACACCGGGCCCAACCCCGGGCGACGCCGCCGGAGGTTGAGACTGCCCTCTCTTCCCCTAATTGCAATTCAAAAATCTCTAATCGAATTATTTTCTCTGCACCACAACCGAACAACCTCCGTTCCTTTTGATAAAAATTGGCAAAAAGTTGCAAAGCGTGCCATCGAGAGCCAAGCAGGATGACATCAACATGATAATGTCACGGGGACCGTGCTTTAATGTGGATACCAAAATCGTTGTACAAACGTGGTTTGAAGCTCTAAGTATGAGTTAAATATTAACAGGGAGAATATTATTGCAAGATAATGACGGAGTGAAACCAGGAAAAGTCCACACAATGGATACTGTTTGTCCGCATTCAGGATATTGCGACCATCTCAGATTCGGACTTCTGGATGTGACTGAAAATTTACAATCCCACATATATTAGGACGCGGGACACCCTTATGACATATAATGAATAGTTGTATTAATTGGACTTGATTATATGTCAAATACGATTTCCAGTCATCATACATTGCACAAGCACATGCAGATGCAATACGAATTGCGCAATTCTTGCTGCCGTATCTGCCGCGCTCTTCGACAACGGTGATGAGACAAGGGGCGTTTTGAAATCTTCCGATGGAATCTGTGCCAGCTCAAGTCGTCACTACTGTAAATAATACACCTTGGTTTGGTGCTGATAAATTTGCATATGCCTCCGTAATTGGCTATGCCGAAGAAAGCGATTTACCACCTTTTTACTCACTCATAGCTGATTACAAGCAGGCTTGGCTTTTTCGCTCACGGCTACATTTTTGAATTTACGTTTTACCCGCGAAAACGTGTAAACAGAGAAATGGCCATACATACGCATATTTGCGGATCGCCGACACGTCCAGATGGCATGATGATGCCCCAATCAACGATCAGTCCTCCACTATCTCAAGCGTCGGCAACACAGGGCACACCTCGCCCTCCGCAAGGGCAAAAAAGTCACCGACCAAGAGATGGTATACATGCACCCATTCCCCATAGTTGTCAGTTGACAGCGTTACAGCACCACAGGCACAGAAGCATCTTCGCCTACAACAGGAGCGAACATGACCATCATAGATGACTAGGCCGCTGCAGCAAATCCGAAGCCACGAGTGATCCATACCGCTGGCAGAGGACAGGGAGATGCACCATATATGGTATGTACCAGGCTGAGATTCAGCAGGAAGGAAGCGCCCAGACTCACCCACTTGAACAGCGGTGAGTACAAAACCGCAAAAATGCCCCCCAACAAAATTTGACGACGAAGACTGCAAACCGGTAGATCGACGCAAAGCACACGCCAAGAGCTTTTCCAGGGGCCCCCTGACCTTTGCGCGGGTTCAGGTGACCGTTGGCGCAAAATAGGTCATACCCAGCAGAGGCAAGCAGGACCATCACTCGGTGGTCTCCCTCATAGCATTGCACATTATTGTCCACAGAAGCAGCAAGAACCAGCCCATCTGAGGCCTCCCTCTCCGTGCAAGCCAGAATGCGAAATATGTTAGAGAAAATGGTCAGCGAGAACGTCATTGAGATAGAAGTCTCAAGCATCCTCCACAATGGCCTCATGCCAACAATGGTGCTGGGTGGGAGATTTTAAAAATTGGACTCAGCCACGACAAGGAGGGCAGCAACAACGAACCATACTCCCGCCGAACCATACTCTCCACAGCTACTCTAAAGAGCAGTTTGCAGAAACCAAACCACTGGTAAAAATTCGACCAGTTACACGATGTACAATCGTGTAAAATCGTGTAAAATTTAGCGTTTTTTTGGAGCCAGATGCTATACAATTGTTGAAATCGTGTTTTTCAGCCCTGGGTGGTACATGGAAGTGGCCCACCTTACCACCGAGGATTACACGATAAAGGACACGGTTTTACACGATTTCAACTATGTACCAGTCGCAGCCGTGTTTTTGTTGATCAGTAAACGACTGGTACACGATTTTTGCTTGCATAACACTATATACGATTTTTAGGACCGTGCACTCTGGCCTTTGTTACTCGTGGACCCAAAATCCAGCAGAGAAAGAGAGACAATATCTTCGGCATTGGATGCATGTTGAAACGTAACTGCGCCAACAACGAGTCCTCGGCGCTGGACAGCAGCGCATCCAGCTGGAAGGCCAGTTCGCCCTCCATGGAGGGCCTCCCAGGCCGCCGCTGCGGCTGGGTCCTCTCGCTGGCCGCCTTTTCCATGGCCCTCCACAGTGCGGGGCAGTTTCTGTGGATGTGGCACATGGCCCAAAGGCACGGAGGCCAGCAGGACGTGACGGATGAAAATACACTAGGAAAAAACAGGCCAAATGACACAGTCCTGACACGGTCTGGTCAAAATCCAACTGTGTACTTTCGGCAAATGTGGTCCTCAAAGTACACAGTTAGTACGCACATTGACACAGTTCAACCGTGTACCCTCTAACAGCTGTGTAGACTACACGGTTTCCTAGTATGCACGGTTAAAACTGTGTCAATGTGTGTACTAACTGTGTATTTTTGGGACCACATTTGCCGAAAGTACACAGTTGGATTTTGAGCAGACCGTGTCAGGACTGTGTCATCTGGCCTGTTTTTTACTAGTGATAGTCGAGTGAAGTGGCGCGCATTGGGATTTATTGGGTCGTTCGGGTGCGAAGGAAGAACTTTGCGAGTCCGACCCCAAAATGACGCTCTCTTTGGAGCAGATTCGGATTTCTTCGTTGGCCGCGTCTCCTCCCCCTCCGGCTCCAGATCAGAATCCATGCCAATCTCCCCCCCGCTGTCCCACAAAACGATCGACACCCACAATGTGCCAAACCCATGGCACAATCCACCCCACCAAGGCGCGCCTCCTG